GATCAGGGTCAGTCTTTATGTGCGTTGGCATATTATTAAAGAAATCGGTTCTTAGCAACGACCGATTATATGTTGTTGTTTTTACGTGTAAATAATAGATAAGAGATGTGCATTGGCATATTCTTAAAAAAAAAAAAATTGATCACGACTAGTTGTATGTTGTTACGCGTGTAAGTAAAAAAGTCAAAAAGAGTCAATGTCACATTTATTGTACGTTGGCATGTTAAGTAATAGATCAAGAAGTGTCAATGTCAACATTTATTGTACGTTGGCATGTTCTTAAAGAAATCAATTTTTAGTCACAGACAATTATATTGTTTGTTTCGCGTGTAAGTAATAGAAAAGTGTTGAAAATATTAGTTTGTCTGGACGACGAGTTGCTCAGTTATGAACAAATAATGTTGTGTACAAAAAAGTTTAAATAATATATTTTTTTTGCATGAGGAACAATTTATAGTTTGATAATTTTCCTACGAATTATCACTCTTTTATTTATTAATACATTTTAATTTTTAACATTCTCCAAAGTAAATACAGCCCGTACATTGCACGCGTTAGATACTAGTTTGTTTCATAACATTGTAGTGGGCCAGTGGCTATGGACTATGGTACTATTTTTGTCCAAAAGGTATAGTTAGGTTAATTATTTATATTATCATGTATATGTTTTTCAACTGGATACTGATTAGTTGGGAAAAAAAATTATCTCAATGGAAAGAGTGAGAAAAAGGTGGAACACTTTTTGGGAGAAAGAATGTATTATTTTTCAGTTTGTAAATAGACATGTGATAAAATATCATGATTAAATTTGATATAACATAAAAATAGCAAAATAATTATAAAGGATTAATAATTTAAAATATGTGAATGAATTAATAGTGATTTTTTTGGAAGACGTGTAATAATGATCAATTTTTATTTTTTTTTAAGTATGTGGATAAGAATGAGAAGAAAAAAAGTAAGAATTGAGTAATATAATAGTAAAATTTTGGGAAAAATAAATATAGATAATAAAATAGTATTTATTCAGTTACTAGCAATAGTATGAATTTCTCGCAAAAGAATATTAGTTAAGAATTTTTATTTTTTTTTTTTGTTTTGTTTGGTTATTTTTTCTTAACCATTCATAATGAGACATTTATTATTATTTTAAATAATTTGATATCGATTATTTATTCTAAATATGTTGATCATAGTTTTCAAAAATTTTCAATTAATTTTTTATTTCTACTTATTAATTTTTAATTTTTTAGTGATGTGATATCAACAATTTGGTATTAAACTTTCCAAAAATTTGCAATCAATAATTCCATTTATACCTAATCTAGAATATTATTTATTTGGGAAATATAAGTTAACGAATATGTTTATATATTAATCACGCCAAAGATTATATATTAACCTTCCTTTTATTGATGTGAAACTCATATTATATGTTTAGAAATTATTATTTTACTAGTATCTTCACCCGTGCGATGCACGGAACATATTTATTAAAATATTTTAATAAATACATTAATATATATATATATATATAGAGTTAGGATCATATGAGAATGAAAGATAGTGAAAGAAATAAGAATGAATCTACACCATGAGATCCATCAAGTCAATGGTCATGATGAAGTCAAATTTTAATAAATAATGGTCAATCATTAATGGCAATCTGGTAATTATTTAAACTATCATGGTCAAATATATGCATTTGACCAATAATTAAGGATAAATGGGTAATTACACTTAAACCACATGGACCCACACTTTATTTTATATTCCTATCTCTCCTCATGTACGGACTCAATTTCACACACACACACACACACCAGCGGCCCGGCGAAAATCAGCACACTAAGCACCGGTCGCCGCCGCCACGGGACTGCCGCCGCTACCATCTTGACAAGAGCCGTCAGCCATCCCCAGCAACACCCTCTCTCTCTCTCGTCCTCCCAGACATGCCGGAATCAACCCACCCCAAACCACCAGCCACTGCCATTCACCTAATCTCTCCCCTCGCCGCCCAATCGGTCGCCGCCGTCGCCACCGTAACATCCCATCGAGTGTCGTCGTCCA